CCAGTTCCCAACCCACGTCCATGCTGATCTGGTCAGTGGCTCTCACACCCTCTTGTTTCGGTTTTGTTATACGTCTCTTTCCTCCGATCACGTTTTTAAGTGCTTCCGTGGTGCTGTTGCACATCCTGCCTTTTTGACCTCGTGAGTGTGTCTCGACTTCCGTCGTTGTCAACGTCTACCGTTTGTTGTTTCGTTTTGGTCGACCTCGTGGTCCCGTTTTGCCAGTGTGCGTCTCTACGCGCTGCTGGGCCGAGTGGACTGTCCGTCGTGCTTTGTCACCGCGCCATCGCTGTTCACGAGTGTCATCGGCGCCTTTCGTGCTTTACACGGCCCCCCGTTGCTGTCACGTCAAGACGTGTGCCACTAGATCGCCCACCCGCCGAGGTCCGCGATCGCTCGAAGCTTAGGGCCCGCGTGTTTCTGTCCTTCGCCTTTCACTCACCTGTGAGGCGAGCGCGAAACGCGCTGGCGCAACGGACGCCAGGAGTGCCAACACAAGCTGGGCCGTGGTAGCCGTGTCGTCTCAACCTGGTTGACCCTTGGTTCTCGCCTTCTCGGCCGCCGCAGTCCAGCCGTCAGTAAGTTGCTGTCACGGACTAAGATAGTATGGACTGGATTACTGGAAACGAACGCTTGTGCGGGGTGAAATGGGGCAAGTACGATTCGCGCTCTAACTATGATTATATATGAGAACCATAAATAAATCGCTTATTTTTGATATACATGTGTACTTATTAACCCTACCTTTTAAAAATCCAGAATCTATTTTCCCTCAAAACCATTTTACGACATCAAAAATGTATTGCATAAATTTTAAATAACATTAAATAATAGAAATAGTTAATAGTTCAATCCTAGTCCGTGGTAGCGCTACATTCGCACTTGCCCCATTTTCCCCCGCACAAGCCTACTCCATTCCATAAGTGGCCCGGCTCCCCTTCACCCGCTCGCCTGTTCGTTTCCAGACCATACTATCTTAGTCCGTGGTTGCTGTCAAATCACCACTGCCAGATAAAATGTTTTCTTACTGTCGATTGTACTTTTATTGTAGCAGCGTATGATACCCTTACCTCCTGTCACCCCTAGTATTGTTTCCTTGCACGTCGCGAGTATCGCGTGGTCAGCTAGAAATAGAAATTCACCGTTACAGTGCGTCAACACTGCAATTGTATGCCCAATATTTAAAAAGGAAATCCCACTTAAGCAAAGAACTATAGAGGAATCTCATTACTGGACACATGTTATAAAATGTTGACATTACTGATATTAGAAAGAAGAAACCCGTATGTCGAAAAATAGTTGGGAATAACCAATGCGTATTTAGAAGAGGAAAATCCACAATAGACCATATCTTCGCACTAAGACAAATAATGTAAAAATATTACGAATTCAGAAAGGACCTGCATCTAGTCTTTGTGGATTACAAACAGGCGTATTTGTAGTGTAGACAGAGAAGAGCTTCGGAAGGAACTAGCAATTTTAGGAATACCCAAAAACTACGTGAATCTAATAAAAACATGCTGTGAAAGCACAGTATGCAGTGTGCGCTTTTTGCGAGGCATCTCAGATCCTTTTGAAGTTAAATCTGGCCTAAAAAAAGGAGACGCCTTGTCGCTTGCTTTATTTAACTTGGCTCTCGAAAAAATTATAAGAGACGCAAACGACGATCGAAGGATGTAGATAAGCAGGGCTCGGGACTTATAGCATTTGCTTATTTTTATGGATTGACTTAAAATGTAGCAGAGTGCTATAGAAGTGTATGTCATGTTACAACACGTTCAATTATGAAATTTGAATGTGCTTTTTTTTGCTTTTTTCAGCGATTTTTCAAAAAAATGCTTATTTCAAGTTATTTTGATAATTTTTGCTTTTTTGACCAGTTTTTCTTAATTATGACACGTAAACCTAGAAGTTTTAGTTAGTTTCTATTTTTTTCCACGGTAACTGGTAAGGCTAGAATTAAAAATATTTTTTCTACTTTGTATCATATTTCTCAGTAATAAACACCGGGACCCGCATTTGTGTGCTTATCTACTAATCGGTTCGATCGTCTTTGCAATATGCATCATTTTTGCCATAGAAAAAACTATTTAGAATTCGACGATATCGTATACTTTAAATACGCGCCAATCACATCCGTAGATGTTGAGCGTTCGTTTTCGGCATTTAAAACAATACTATCAAACAACAGAAGGGCTTTTGAGTTTGAAAATTTAAGAAAACATCTAATTATTCAATGCAATAGAGAAGGTAAGAAACATTTTAAAATACATTTTTTTTTAAATTAATCAATTTTTCTTTAGTTATTCTTAAAAAAAATTTATTTATTTTTCAGAAAATCTATAAGAAGTACCTAACCTACTCAAAAAGATTTGATATTTGTAACATATTTTTTTTTTTTTTTGATTTAAAGTGTTAAAATAATGTAATAAAGAAAAATTGCATTTAGTTTTTTTCGTGATTTTTTAAAATTTTAAGTGCTATTTTAGTGCTTATAATCATGTTTTTAAGTGCTTTTTCAAGCGCTTATTTTGATGATTTTAAGTGCTATAAGTCCCGAACCCTGTAGATAAGCAATGACCAAGTTATGTTAGCTTATGCAGATGACATTGTGGTAATGGATGAAACCATAGAGGAAACTCACCAACTCATTAATACAAGTAAGGAAATTATATTAAAAGACCTCCAATATAGATTCCATAGAAGTTGATAATTATAAATTTGAAAAAGTTGATAATTTCAAGTACTCAGGTGGGTGTGACCATCAACAACAAAAATGATATGCATATAGAAATAAACCAACGGATCACTAGTGAAAATATATGTTATTTCAGTATTATCAAACTCCCGAGATCTAAGCGCTATCCCATTCAGAGAATCAAAGATACTACTATACCATAGTTACCTTCGATCTGTGATAACATACGCCTGTGAAACCTGGTCATTGACTAAAGGTGATAGCAAAAGACTTATCACGTTCGAAAGGAAAGTGTTACGAACTATATGTGGACCAATCTTTAATCCAGAAGTACAGACATACGAAAGAAGAAGTAATGAAAATATAAAGGGGCTGTATAAAAGGCAAGACATACTCTCTTTTAGGAGGAGGAAACGACTAGAATGGTTCGGACATACATGGAAGGTTGCAGTAAATGTGCTAGTCAACAGAATAAATAAAACGAGACCCCTAGGACGACCCAAAACCCGATGGATTGATATAGTTTCAAAAGATATAGTAATGATAGACTAGAACGCAACCTTAGAGACAGCGTATCAGATTAATATATGGAGAGAGTTTGTGATGGCAGCTCTGGTTCTGAATGGACCGTTAAGCTGACATAAAAAAAGTATAAGTCTTCTTCGTCAGCTTAACGATACTACACATATTAAAGAAGTTCAGAAATGAGAACTTAATATCAAGTTAAGGTACAGTTGATTAATAAGTATGGAATGGTCAACGGAATCAAAGACCTTCACAAATATTGCCAGTGTTTTTTTTATATTTGTTAAGTGACTCATAAAGTCATAGGCGTGTGAACGGGGTATGCAGGGTAAATGTCTTCGCATACCCTGCGGCCAGACGCGGGGGCACATGAACAATGTCTCAGTTCATAATTTTGAATTATAAAATTTGAGTTATAAAATGGTAATGAGATATCGATATGGAGTATGGGCAATTGGAGTATGAGTCATTTTGGACGGTTCTCAATAATAGGAAATATGGGTTTTATTTTTAGTGTAGGTAGGTATTTACTTTTTATATTTTCCTAGAAATGATGATGATTATTTCTATTGTGACATCTATTATTTAACTTATGGATGTCTAAATACCACGATTTAAGATATACCTACCTTTAATATATCCAAGTACATCTTTAACCGTGTTAAATACTGATAATATTAATATAATATAAATATAATGTAATATATTATGTTTATAATAGTTGAGTAGTTGATACTATAGAATATAATAGACGCGAGTACGCGACAGTCAAATTTGATAAAAATATCTTTACCGCGCGTTTGTAATCAAATTGCCTATCCACCCATTAGAGAGAAGGCTTGAATTACAACAATTATGTATAATGTTCAGAATTGTTTATATAAACATTTTTGTAAAAAAAAAAAAATACTTTTAATCAAAAAAAGTTGAAAACCCTATTTTTTCTAATATAAAGTACTGACCATTAGTTTATAGTACAAAGTCATGAACATTAATTTTAGAGGCATTTATATCTGTGGGGGGGGGCACATTTTATCAACCGCATACTCTGCGAACAAAGTCTGCGCACGCCTATGCATAAAGTCATAAATAAACTTAGTTTCATTTTAAAATGTTATGGGAATTTCCCATTCCAATACCGTGTCTAAAACCCAATTGATGGTAGTTCATATACTTTTTTAAATCGGACCCAAATCTTTTTACAATTTTTTCATTTATTTTAGAAAAATTACATATTAGGTAGGCAACATAGAAATGTGCTTATAATTTGTTCTGATTTGTTTATCTCTACTTTTATAAATAGATTTGACTTTTACTAGTTCAAATTTACCAGGAAATAATTTATATTTTATTCCGTTGATTGTAAAATATATAGGTGTCTACCAATGCGGCTATGTTTAAGGTTAAACAATAATATAAGCTAAACTTTTTTTGCATTCTAATAGATAGATACCAACACCATCAAAACCTGCGACTGTTTCATCTTTCAAGTTCCATATAATTTGAATTACTTCCGATTCACCTATAATTTCATTAAAATAGAAATCAAATAAATCATTTGTTAAATCTTTTATAGTCCTACACAAATAAAACTAGACGTAGGTACTAATATTGTATCATGCTTACACAATTTTTATTTTTTTCTTATTTATAGGTACCTATTATTAAAAACATTTTTAAATAGATTAGATACTATAAAAAAATGTCGTTATTTTCAGTACAAATTACAATTATCACCATCTTTAATTTTATCATTTTAATTTTTATTGAAAATACTTGTTTGTTTTTTTAATAAGTCTTTATTAGTAAATGTTGATAAGTAATATATAATTAAATATAAAATTGATTGTATACATTTGTATGACTCAAGGTCCTTTGAAATTTCCAGCTGCTGGTGGTCTACCTGCATAGTAGACATTATTACACATTTCACAGTATCCTGGCGGACCCTGAGGTCCAGGATAACCATTTGGACCAATTGGACCTGTTTACAAAAAATGCAAGTTATCTATCAGATCAAGATTAAATTTAGCTACCAGTTTACGATATTATGTAAGTACAAAAAAAATATTTATTTTTCATGACTTAAATTAATTTTCATTAAAAAAATTAGTGTAAAAGTCTTAACATAATAAACAAAATTCATACCTGGTCTTCCTGGTTCACCTCTATCTCCTGGTCTACCATGTGCTCCACTTGGACCTAAACATAAATCATAATACATTGCAAAAAATGTTAGGTTAAGTCAATATTAAATATTAATACCGGGTTGACCGGGGAGTCCAGGTGGTCCTTCATATGCAACAGCTTCGCTTCCACGCTCTCCTTTATCTCCTTTTGGCCCGACTGGTCCCTCAGAACCTACCGACAAAAAATTCAACAGTGCGTACTAGAATAAAATAATACATTTTAATTAACTTAATAAAGAATACATTTTTCTTAGAATACAATCATTACTATCAGTTGTCACTGACGAGTATAAACTCTCAAAACTTTTTTAAACAACCATGAAAAACTAAAAAAAAAATTAACAGGACGCTATACAGACATATTTTGTTGTCTCCATCTTACAAGTGCTTTTCCTACATTGCATATTTAACTATTTAAGCTCAGCAGGTCATGTTTAGCTCTGTTAGTTTTCAAATTTGAGGGAATCGACCTATTATGAAACTTGATGGTAAGAATATTATGTGGTTGTATATGTGGGTTTTTTACGATGGTTCAATTTTTTAGCAAGTTTTACGTACAGCGTAAATTAAAAATGTCCATAGGTAACTCCCCTAAAAAACTGAATTATTGAGTACTTTTGCGAAAAACAGTCTTTAAAAAATCAATTTGGTTTTTTGGTGTAACTCAAAAACTAATGAGTTTAGATAGTAGATACTTTAAATTTTCACCAGTTGTTTATTTTTATTATTTTTTCGAAATGATACAATTTTTAAAATATTTGGACTGGTTGTGAGCTGTTTATAGACATTTTAAATTCGAAATTATTTTTGGTTTTTCTCTGTAAGTATCTATATCAAAAATGTTTGATGATTCAAAAGGTTCCTCGTAAGTTGTTACAATTCATCTAAAACTTTTAAATATATTAAAGGTACATAGATACGAATTTTTTTTATAAGCATTTAAAGTTTGACAAAATCCATCAAAACCTCAAATATTTACAAATTATTTTGTATTTAAAAATGTATAAAATGTTCAATAATGATTGAAAATATAGAACAAGGTTTCTTATAAAAAGCTTATAAAAATAAATTAACACAGTTTTAATTTCAAATTTCAAGTCCATACGTTTTGCTATCTATGAGAAATAGCGAGAAGTGAGGAATAATATATTTAACTATATATTATAGATAAAAAAAATATGTTAAAAGCGTTCAACATAAATAATTTTACTGTGTATAGAGGTGTATTAAAAAAAAACATAGTGCTGTATGGTATTGCGGGAAGTATAGCAAAGCCCAAACCGACGTTTCTTTAGAAAAAATATCCATACCTCCTAGAACGGCCAGAACAAAATCATAACTACGCCACTGGTTCTAACCATTAAACCTATTAATAGATTGCATGTTTAAATGGTCCTATCTTACACAGTTAAGCCGGGTTCGCAGCTACGTCGTGGTCGTTTATATCTTGTCGTGTTTAAAAAAACTTAAGGTTGACGGCCCTACCCTGCAGGCAGTGGCGTATATACGAATTATTTTCACTATGGGCCGATTTATCAATTATCACTAGTCAAGCAGCATAGCCATAATTATACATTTTTAAGGGAGCAGCTGTTATATAATTAAGAATTATGACATATTATACAGTTCAAATAAAAATTGCGCAATTCAATTTTATAATTATTATGTAAAATTAATTTTTTGTTTCTTTTTTTAAAAATATTGACAGTGTCGTTTGTATATTTTAATGTTATCTTACTATGAATTTAACATCAAAGTCAATAAGTCATTAAAGCAAGTCTCGTCAATATATCTAACATTTCCTTGTAGATTACTCAAAAATGATTTTAATCAACCGGCTAACTTAATCATGGTGAAAAACTGTTAACAGTGTAAATATACAAGAAATACTTTAATTGAACCTGCAATTTCACTATGGGCTCTGGCCTAGGGGGCCTCCCCCCTATATACGCCACTGCCTGCAGGACATTTTCTAGTAGATCACGGTTAATGAATGATACCATAATAACAACAGCCAATAAGAATACGATAAAAAGCACATGACACATAAGACGAAGTAGCTATGAGCCTATGAATTTACATGCCGGATTTACATGATATTTTCATGTACTTAGTATATTATATATTTATGTTTAATAAACCTTTAGAGGTACCTCTAACCTCTTTACCTATAGATTAAGACATTTTTTTAAAGTAGGCACAAAAAAAATTATTTTAATTTTTCTACACTGAGTACTATTATTCTCCGTAAGCCTAATATATTAACAATTAAAAACTTACCGGTTGATCCTTGCACACCAGGAGATCCTGGAAAACCTCTTTCGCCGGGCATTCCTAAGCCTGGTGATCCAGGCTCGCCTAAAAATAAGATAAATTTATTTAATTTGTTCACTTTTTATATATTTTTCATGCTATAAAGTTACCTGGAGGACCTTGCGAACCTGGTGGACCTGGTTTACCTATAATTGACCGACCCGGGGGCCCAGGTGGACCAATGAAAGTGTTTGTTAGTTCTGCTAATTGTTCTAGGAATGATCATAAAAATATTATTAAAACCTGTACATTCAAAATATGGTTGGCAAGGCATGATAAAGAGTCAATTCTGGAATGTATATTTTTTTAAATATAAAAATAATATTTATAATTAAGTAAGTATAGTTAAAATGCTAGAAATCTATTTATATACAATTTTAACAGGTCATTATTAAATTAACAAAAATATGATTATTGGGATTTGGGAACTAAGGAAACTTATTTATTTTTTCTTAAACAAATTTAACTTTCAATACATTTAGATTTTTAATGTTTATCTACACTATTTGTAAGACACATTTAAGTACAAAGATTTTGAGATATAGTATGGCACTAATAAGTATGTATGGACTATACCAGGGGTGACCAACATGAATATGTTCGCGAGCCACATATATAAATGCAATGATATCAAGAGCCAAAATATGTGTAAATTAATTTTATAATTTTATCTAATCTGTACTTTTATAACACAAAAGTAATAAAGATAGCTAACAACCGATAAACATATCAAATTACAAATTAGTTCAATATTATTTAGATTTTTGTTTTGATTAGATTATGCGTTTTCTAACGAATTCCAATAGGCACTTTATAAAATTATATCGTTGTTAAAATAGTCTGTGTTAAATAGTCCTGCTGTAAACACCTTAATTTGCTTATAAAATATTTGAGACATTTTACAGATACATATTGCGAAAGTTATTAGTTTCGACGTATATATGAAGAAGAAAAACGGGAATTTAAATTAGAATGGGATGAGCTTTAATTTTTCATACAGAAAAGCGATAAACCATTTTGTCTCACATGCCAACTTACATTATCACAGTCTAAGGTCAGTAATTTAAAACGTCATTACGAAAAAACCAAACACAGCACATTTAGTCGAGTATTTCCTATCGGTTCCGATTTGAGGAAAAATATATACTATGTTCGATGAAATGAAAATTTGCTAAACCAACTATGTCTATGTGAATCGCTTTATTCAATAATGAAAATAATTAAGTCGAAATATCATTCAAATTTGACTGATGATTATCTCACAGAATTACTAAAAACTACTCTTACATAAATGTAACTAGATCCTAAGAATCTTTCTAAAAAAGTAGACACGAAAAAAATACCGCACAAACAAATTTAGCTTAATGTTTATTATTTTATTTATTATTCATATTAATTTTCTATATATTTTTGTTTATTAATCATTATTCTGTAGCCTTATATCTATATAGTAAAAATATTTTTTTTTTATAAATGTACACGAAAAAAAAATTTAAATGTTGGTTCTTATAAATAAGACGCGAGCCACATACAACTATGACCAGAGACGCATGCGGTTCGTGAGTTGTGATCCACAAATTGGCCACTTCTGGTCTATACTACAATATATTATTAGTACATTAGTTCTAGTACTTAGTGCAACAATTAATTCGTAATCTAGTTTAAAAAAATAAATTTACCTTTCAAAATTGATTTACACATTTCTTTTATCTCATTTTCAGTAAAACCATTTCCCTAATAAAAAAATCATAAAAATGTAATTATATTACATATCGCTATACTGCAGTGTTGTAAAGTTATTATTTATCAGTAGGATCCGGATTTCAATGCGAAGTGCATCTTTTTGGGATATCTTGGACAATACTTTCCAAGAACATAATTTGTTTCATGAAACAGATACTTCAAAAATACAACAGTAAAACTATTATTTGATATTTTTTACCATTTTTCGGCCATCTAAACATTTTGTTATAGTTTTAATCTAAATTTGTTTGGTGCATTTAAAATTACATTTTGTAGTAGAGCCTTAAAATATATACGTGTCTGCAGTCAACATCATCGTCACCGGCAGTCACCTCATCAATTGTACAAATTAATGAGTCAACTTTTCATAACATTTTTCAAATTTCAGTTTTTTTAATAAATGTTTAGAAAAATATTTTAAATATATTATATATTATAAGTTATAATTTATAACTGAAGTACCTATTATAGGTACCTAATATTACGGTAAAATGCATTTTTTTGATGGTTTGTAGAGTATTTAAATCCGGGCTCTTCTTATCAAAGTAGAATTATTATAATTTAAAAAAATGTTTAATACAAACTAAGAATGTACCTAAGTCATGATTTTTTTTTAATTTACTTAATTATCATATTTATTTCTAAGTATTCCAGTACAATTTTATTATTATTATTCAAGTATATTTTAAATAATATTTTAAACTACCTATTCTTTACAACACTGCTAAAATCAAAAGAAATAATTAGTAAATAACATACTGAATAACCTGGCAATCCTGGTTCTCCTCGTTCTCCTTTTTCCCCTGGTGTGCTAAGTGTTCCCTGTGAAAAAATATGTGAACAAAATATAAAGAAATGTGGAAAGTAGGTTTAGGTACGAGGTAGGTACCTCTCTGTAATATTGTTGGTACTGTAATGGGGGCCGTAAGGGTCATTATTGCATATGAAAAACGATTCTGAGCATAGAAGGTCTATCATACCAACATTACTTTAAAGCTTAAAGTATTTACTCACCATGGTTAATAATTTTTGATTTACGCACACTTGTTTAATTAATGATTTTGTTGATAACTGATTTTGCGTAAAAGTTCTCGTTTTTACTTAATTTTTTCATTGTTTTTCCTGAGGCTTTTGAAAACCACTAAGATTATTTACTTTTGACCCTTTAAAGTACTAAAAATATTCACTTGTTGATTCCTACCAGAAAAGATGCTCAAGTAAAAAATCGAATCATTTTTACTACTCCAGAATGTGACAGGCAGAGAAAAAATACATCATCGTAAAATTAATAAATTTATGATTTATCGCTTCGCTCAGAATCTAAAACCAGAACAATTTTAAATGCTCTTGGGCATTTGTGCATAAATAACCGAGTCTGAATGTTTTGAAAATTACATTAAGTTTATAGGTATATTGATAATTTAAGTAACAGTAGAATATTTCACTACTAAATAAATACTTACCGGTCTTATATATTGTATTTCTGGTTTAGCTGGAATATAGGTTATGGTCCCAGGGAGTCCAGGTTCACCTTTATTACCTTGAATTCCAGGTTCTCCCTGTAATTAATTTGATTAATTTTATTTTACATAATTTGAATTAGTCATTATTACTTGTTCCCCTTTTTCTCCTTGTAAAGCGGGCAATGCTGGTATACCTGGCGTACCTGGTAAACCCTGATATCCTCGTGGGCCCTTTAAATAAATTGTACATATTTGTATTTATGAAACGATGATTAGAAAAAATACTAATGATTAGGTATACAGTTATTCCTTTAATTAATGGCAAATTAATAACCTATAAGTTATAACTTGTCTGTACAAAGTATGATTAAATAAGATTTTTATTACTTCTGCTCCTGAGATTCCTGGTTGACCTGGAGGGCCTTGTGGTCCTGTTAGCCCCCGTGGTCCTTCTTGCCCTTGTGGTCCCGGTGGTCCCGGTGGTCCCTGTTTACTTTGATTCACAATTGGTGGATGTTTGTTCGCGCATTGATTTTCTCGGTGAGGACAATTACTACCAGTAGTAGCTACATCTGGCTGTTGAATTTGTACAGTTTCTTCTCTCATCTTTATGACAATTTTAAGTTATTTAAGATAAACATAAGTAAAAAATTATTTTCAATTATTACTAGATACAATTCTGCACATCCTTCCCGTTGAGGTTTCGTTGGATCACAACTCAGTGTTATCCATTGTACATCTACCTAAATCAGCTTAATTTATAGTTTGAAATTAATTATAGCTTAAAATGCAACTTACTGGTGCTGCTTGGTAATCGTTATTTATCACTAAGGCTGTATTACCAAACATATCCACTGTACCTCTGGGTTCCAACATTTTAACACCAACTTGTTTACAGTCTATGTAAAGTACTACTCTATCGTAAAATACTCCGAAATGTAATTTGTGCCAATTTCTATCAAAAATCTAAACAATTTGAGAAATTAGATTTTATCATTAAACAAAGAAACAATACATATTTAATATTATTATTAGGTACCAAATGTAGTTTGTATTAAATATTTACATTTATATGTTCATCAATGTTCTTACATATATCTTATTAATACCCAAAAAGCTAGTACATGATGACTAATGAGTAGAAAAGGGTTGGTTGTTTATGGTTTAATTGTTCAATTAGTATATTAAATTCACTTACGTAGTTGGCTTCAAATTTAACAGTTTGCAAGTACCCATCATAATTAACAATAGAGAACTCTACAGTCCCTACAACTTGATTTAGTGAAATTAGCAAATTAGTGCTATTTTGATAATCAACAATCTTAAGTATGTGCCACTGTGCTCTGGTTACCATTTTTGAGCTAAAGGTAGCAATAAAAGAAAATTGCTGAGGTATGCCCAAGGGAAATACATTTCTATAAACAAATAAAACAGTATTAACATTTAAATGTATCTCTATATTATAATCTATTGATAAATATAATAATAGTAATAATCTACTTAATAATATTTAAATATACCTAATAGTAATTACTAATTAGTAATTACCTACTAACTATTTCATAGTTAATGATATCATAATCTCATACAAAATGGAGTGCGAACATAAGTCATAGATCCTGCCTTATTGGCTTGTATATGTATGTTTTTGAAGTTTTATAGTTTTCAGTCAATAAGAATAACTGCGGCGTAGTTTCACGCCGCGAAGGAATACTAATTAAAACAATTGGACCATTTTTAGAAAAAATATAATAATATTATTTTGAAAATGTTGTGGTTTCTTTTGATTTTAAATATAATAGCAATAAATGTTCTATTATAGTACCTATTATATTAACTATAAGTTACCTAACACTTATAATATAGTGTATAGTAAAAAAATTGAAAATCTTTGATGCTGACATACTGTAGTATATAAAAAAGTTTTATAAAATGATTTATTTTAAATGGTAAGCCATATTATTATATTGAATTTCTGTAACTCATAAGTAGGAATTCATTATTTTATATTTCACTGTTTTTGTTATTCTATTTATTATTATAAAGTAAGTGTGGGTACATTTATCATGGATTTTTAAATTGTAATAACTTTTTTAATTATAGGTAGTAAAATAGTGATAATAATAGGTGAAACAGTGTTTATTAATATTTTAGTACTAACTAGTTTCCGGAAATGCTAATATTAAACCAGTGCACTAGGCCACCTAATACTTCTTTGTAGTTATGTCAATGCAGTTCAATGTAATTAAAAAATAATTATATTATCATTATTTATTAGTAGGTATTTAGGTGGCTAGGTACCAAGTACCATTGTACCAACTATCACTGTTGTCTACTGTTACCATTACTAGTAATATTACTGTAGACTTTGTTATATTATCTATTAATTACTATAATAGTCTAAACCCATATGGGTATCCCGGTAACAGTGACTGTTGCAGTGTTGTGCGTGTTAGACGTTAGTAGTTAAGACATTTTAGTACTTAAATATTAGTATACTGTCTACAGTAATATAGTATAGACTCATTAGACTCTACAACAATAGTCTCTACAGACTACTCTCTACACTTTACAATTGTTGATAACTGTGTTACGGCATAGGTTCTACCAAAAAGTCCGAGGTAAAAAGTCCTAGGAAAGAAGGCCGAGTAAAAAAAGGCCAAGGTGAAAAAGTCCGGTACATATAATTAGGTAAAACTGGTAAAAGAAAAAGTATGATGTGATGCGCAATCAAACTTCCAATTAGTATTAATATAAATTGACTAAATGCTTTACCTGACGAAATTCAAAAATAATCTTGTAGCAGGTACCAATATCAGCAAAGTATTCGCAAAATAAATCAGTTAAATATATCATTTTAAATTTTGTTATAACGGAATTTTTTAGTTAAGATAGTTCGCTAGATAGTTAATACTTAATTACCTAAACTGAGAAATCATTATAATATTTTATGTATATAATGGTAATGACACTAATTACTAAGTACCTAATTATAATCATTGAATTAATTTTTTTAAATATTGTGACATATATTATATCTACCGGACTTTTTATGTTTAGAGCTATCAACTTCGAGCATTTTATGCCTCGAACTTTTTTCCTACGACTTTTTTACCCCGATTCCTGTGTTACATACCTTGTGGGCATTATTAAACGTGCTGTTTTTTCCACTCTATAAGCAGTCTGAAAACGGTTAGATCCTGTCACTTTGATTACACTTTTTTTGTATATTTCTTCTGCCGAATCCAACCCAAATTTTCTAATGAAATCGATTATTTGTAAATCGTCTTCCCCAGGCCGGAAGTCTCCGCACGGCACCTGCGCCAATGCTTGGTCTTTAACGGGCTTACTGGTGCCCTCATCATAATCTGTATAAAACATTACCGTTTTTATAGCGTGACCGGCGTACCCATAATAATAAAAATGATAAATATTTAATAGTAAAATAATATGTAAATTACGATTTTAACAGATGTGTGAACATGTGAATAGCATTATTTGTGTCTATGAGGTCAATGGCGTTCACAATAACGGATATGTATCTCGGTCGCTACTATCTACTTTTTTTTTGGAAATATTAAATTATATATTACGCACACCGCGCTAACAGTTGCTGGATAAATTTGTCAACACGGCAGTCGTTCATCGGACAGAACTTTATCGTATAGTCGTTTTTATTTATCTTTCAATTAGTTTGAATGATCAGAAAAAAGCGAAATATTTCTTTAAGAATAAGAGGTTCGGTTGCCTTGGTTTCACCCTACTATAATCTCTTGAGTCTTGATCTAAAATCTAAATTTTCCTAAAGTTTAATATCGTAGTCACTAGTCATATTATTGTTAAAATGTCTATGCGATAATGTTTGTATCAACTAATGAAACTCCTATTACAATAATCAAGATTATTGGAGGCCTCCAAGACAATCAATGATGATTATTGATTACCTACTTTCATGAAGTTCAATTAGGTGCCTGCCATTGCACCTACATTTTCACGCTGTTCACCCTCATGTTGCATGTACAGGTTATATATTTAACAAATTAGTTAATTATACCTATTAATAGGTACCTACCTAGGGCCGGGTTCTTGGTCTCCTCACCACACGCCGTGTCGTGTCGTGTTCCGCATATCTATTAGGTCAAATAGGTACATAATAAAATGTTGGTAACACATTATACCTACACGTTGAATTGAATATTTAACTTTACACGACACAGTATGTAGTGAGAACTCATTTTTTTAAATATTAGTGAGGTATTTAGCTAGGTAAGTAAAAGGTATATTTATAAGTTACCTGAATAATCGGTAGAAAGTCCAGAATGTGCCTGAGATTTTTTATCTGTAACCAAAAAAATAACATCATGTACCTACTTTATAAGTATTTAGGGATAATAGGATAGCTTATTTTTAAAATAGAGTAAAAAATTCCTTTTTATAGCTTGATAGTGATATCTGAAACTGATAGGCTATAGTATATTAATATATAATATCTATATGTATATATTATACTCTACACAATAAATATACACATATAATTAGCATTAAAATCGTTTCTCTAATATGTAATTAGGTGTAGGCGTAGATAGGCATACAAAGCACTTACTTGCTGAAGCGTTTATTCCAGTTGGAAATATAATCGTTGCAAATAAAGCAATTTGTGTCCATCTTAAATAATTTCTGAAAAAAAAAAATTAATAAACCTACACAAATATATTTTAAGTTATATATACGATAAACCCGACTTTAAAATATGTAATATTTACGAGTTCCGTTAAAGCGTGCCATCGTGATAGGTTTATTACTTTCGACAAATATCCAGAGACCGACGTGTTAAATTTAGAAAGATTAGTGAACGTTAGGTCTTGTGCCAAATATATTATATTAGATATTTAGATGAATTCAGATTTTAAAAAAAACTATTGAATTAATATTGTATTTTCGTCACTTAATTTTATTTGGCTTTTTTTATTTTTAACAAATTTACGAATTCATACAATAAACTTAAAATAAATATTACTGTATTTAAATACCTATGTCACCTCACTAATCGACGATAAGATATGATTCTATATTATACTTCTGGTCCTTAATTATTCAGAAAAAATGTGTTAATATTCAAAACGAAAATGTAATTAGGAAATTCAAAATTGTATAATATAGTTTAAAGAATTCATGATTTAATTATTATTTATTTTATTACCTATCTAATTACAGGTACGCTGTGACAAAAACATCAATATTATATAATTGTTAATTTTGTTAACGAAATGAATATTAACTAAAAAAAGTTGAGTACCCTTACATCTCTTCACACCCATGATTTAAAATCTTAAAAAAAAAGTTTGTTTCAAAATATTTTATTAGCTTCTGATTTAGAATACGAATGTAAAATTAAATTAAAGGTTACAAAAAAACGTAAGAATTCAACAAAAATTTACCATGAATCATGATTATATATTAACTTTTTGTAAACATGTAAAAACCACATTTATATCAATATTGAAAATAATTTCATACGACCAACGTTTCAAGTAAAAATCCAAACAATAAAAAGAATTTCACTCAAGACCTTAAAGTATAATATTAAAAAAATTATACTTAATCATGATTTTTTCAACAGATTACTCTATTTGTTTTGTAAATTAGGTACCCGTGTATAAAGTAGGTAACACATCAATACGTATCTACTCTACATGGGAAGAATTGACATAGAACCATAATATCGTCTACGAAGTACCGTAAATACGATGTATCTATGTATAAAAATATTTTAGTCATAAACAGGTTATAATTTACCGAAAATAATTTAACCAAATATATCAATGCAATAATGCATTTTTTAGGATATTAAATAAATACGAGTACGTATAATATTAATATTTAAAAATACTCAAAATTCACATAAAATTTAAAATATCGTTAAACACCAACGAGAGAACACTGATAATATTTTTGTAAAGTTGATCTAATAATTGTCAGAGCAAAAATTACTTGTATCAAAAATCTGCAATTTGTTTATACTATAAAACTATGCAAATTTCTAACATACCTATATTATGTTCTTTGAAAATTCATATAAGAATATAAACTATTTTATATTAACCACAATAATATGCACATAACTACATTGTACAGCTTCATTATTGTTTATTATTACCATAGAAGGGCAATGTAACTTGATATTTAACATTTCATCATAATAATCTGACCTATAATATTTAATTCTGTAACCAAAAATATTTATATCAAAAGTTAAAATTTTATTTTTCATCCATTTTTTAGGGTACCACAGTTATTTTTAAACATAAAGCATACTTTTTTCAATTGATAAAAAAATCCTAATTCCAATTCAATGGTTTTAAGGATAATTTTTTTTTTTATATAGGCATTCAATGCTCATAAAATGTTTCTTAAATAATTCAATAATGGAGTAATTTAAATGTAGGACTTACCCCTTTATGTTCATCATCTTATGAAATTAAAATGAGAATGAATTACAAACTTTAGCACGTTTTATGTTCATCAGTATAAGAAGATAAAACATCAGAATTAACGCGTCAGTGGCTTAACCATAACTGTGAGATAATTTAAGTGGATCAAGACATCTTGAGGTTACACTTACACTGTAGAAAAAAGAGGGGATAGAATGTTTTTAATTATATTGCATCCTTTTAGTATAGTTTTTATTATTTGTATATTTTACATATAAATATGTATACTATACGTAGACAGTGTTATATATATTATATATAATAAGTATTTATTTATAAGTATATACACATAATATGATTTTAGTAAGTTTTAAAATAGATTTATAAATACATACTAAAAAACATTTAATAAACTATATTTTAATACATAAGTGTTTAAAATTCTTAGTGTAATTTTTTTTAAAGAACTATAATTGTAGCTATCCTTAAGATAAGCAAAAACCAAAAGTTAAAAATTTAAATGATTGCAGATTATGTTAAATTACACAAAACAATAAGTATACATTAGTTATAATTACACTATTAAGTTGAATACATCAATGTAATGTAAAATGATGTTTTTTTAAATAGATTATTATGGATTTTTCAAGTCGCATTTAAAAAATATAGTAACAATAATAAGAATTAAAACACAAATAAATTGCTATATATTATATTTAGTTTAATTTTTTTTAAACACAAATTAAAAACCCAGTGTTTGAAAAGTAAAGTATTTTTTTTATTAAATCAATGTGACTTAATCAAGAGGTTCTACATTTATCGGACGCGATGATGATGGACGTGGTTCTCCATCACAGTCACCCATTAATGTACTAATCAAATTACCTGAAAATTAATAATAACATTTGTATTAGTGTATGAAGTTTTTTATTTAAATATGATTATACAATTTTAGTATCATAATTATTTAAATTTATTAAAATTAAACAAAAGGAAATTGACTTTGACAGTTCGAAAATATAAGGTTAATAATAATTTAAAGCTACAATAAAAAATAGATATACAAATTATCTGATTATTTTACAGTTTTTGTCTAAGTAAGATTATGTGGGTTTGATGCCTCACTAATTGTAGCAAAAGCTGCTCTTTGCATTTTTTATTTTGCTGTCAAAAACAACATAAATTACCAAGGAAATTATCTATAAATCTAGCTCTATATGCGTGTTTATCAATATATAAATTTAACTACATTGGATGACTATCTAAAAATGTGAATAGGGCACTTACATCATATGCATAGTATTAGAATTCCAGAGGATTGAACAACCAGACATTTTTTAGGCTGCTAAATAGTATAATTTTGATGCAATGTTGTAAACAAGAATTTTTTAATTAGGAGTTGGTAGTTCAGTACATTTTACCAACATAAAATTATATGCACAACCAATGTTTTACAATTGGCTAGTTAGTCACTTTTATGAATAATAAAACTGTATAGCAATTGGTTTTAAACACATATGTATTTAAGGGGCTTGTGCCTCCCCCCATTCACCATAATTATACTGGGAGACAAAAGTAAATGTATGTATCAAGGGGCTCACTCGTGTGTCTTTAATAAGAGGCAATATTTAGGTATTATGCTATTCCTCCGCCACCGTCCATAGCCTTTGTTTTAGTCGTAAATGATGATTAGTGTGAGTGTGATTGTATACCGGTGCCAAGTCATCTGACCGATGTCAACAATACCCCCAACCAAAAATGGAAAGCGTAATTTCTTGTTCAAAATATGGTTTACAAAAAAAAACTCTCACGCCTCATTGAATAGTCCAATTTAATTAATTATTTTTGTTAGAAAGAGCACATTGGACTTTGATTTTGTTATTTATAACTAGGGAGCAGAATTTTAGGGAGTAAATAATCTGACCAGTTTATTCAGTACAGAATTTGTAGAAAAAAATGTATTTTGCATATTAGAGCACATTTTAAAGATTAAAGAATATTCAGCCTATACACATATTTAAGAATGTATTGCATTATTTTTTTGTAATAAAAAAGTCATTCTTGTTCATTTATCAAGTTGAAATATCTCGTCACACAAAAAAAAAAATATTTTTAATTTAAAAATGAAAAACTATAGAAATCATTCTGTAATTTGTTTGTAATTGAATTGAATTTTTTTTAATTTGTTTGATTTTCTAAGTGTGACTGAATTTAAATAATTTACCAAAGACAAGGTATGCAATAATCAAGATTTCTATGACCTGTCAATAGATATTACAACAAACAAAATAATGTCTTATCCTAGGTTGTATACACAATTACTAGATATATTTCAATGCATCATTTTTTTTAAATAATTCTTTCAGCATTATAATTGAATTATTTAAATAAATTCATCTTATATACAAATAAATAATAGTATATTATTAACACTTAGAACCCTAATATCAAATTGTACACGTAACACGTAGTTGACAAGAGTAACTGGGCACCCATAGCCGGTGTCACTGTTGACATACAGTAAACCGTTTTGTATTAAGATTTTTAGTAGGCAACTATAGCAGCTTCTATTGGCAATTCATTACCGTATTGACTATTATGTCAAATCTACCAATTTTTTATATTCAATCGCGGGCGATTTACATTCAAACCTGGCGGGCGAATGTAAGATTGATGTTGAACGTGTTAGTAAATACATTGAACTAATTGAAGGTAATCAATGGTACATGATTATATGTATTTTTAAGCTTTGAAGCATCTGCATAGATCAAACACACACTGTATACTACTCTGTAGTAGTTATTACAAATTAATAACATGCTACTGTATAATATTAAATTTATATACAGAGTGTCCCGCAAGGATTTACCCATTGCGATACCTCCTGAGATAATAAATATATCATAAATCTGTTTTTTTTATTAGACTCAAAGAAATAATGAGTATTTATTAAATATTTTATTTTTGAATTTTATTTATTTTTTATTTTTTTTATTTTTGCAATTGAACATATCAATTTTGTCGAGTTTGTTTTTCTGAAAATGTTGACCTGTCAACATTTTATTTTCATTAATTTCAAGATTTTTTTAGTTAACAGGTAAAACGGCAAGAAAACGGTTGTTTTCCGGGCAGTAAGTCCCCCTCTACGGGCTAATGGGTATATCCTCACAGGACACCTTGTACATCTCATTAATATTCTAAGAAAAATATAAGTAAATCAATCAATTCCGTTGTCAATTAATGATGCAATAGTTCAACTATGTATTTTATATTAAGAACATAATTCAAAAGGCTAAAAGAGAATTATAATTCCCAACAAAAATTAAATCTATAATTAATTAAAACCGAAAATAAAAATGTACTAATTAAAAAATAATTATATTTAAAATATAAAATATAAAATGATAAGTACAACATACTTTAATAATACTAAATAAATACTACTATAGGTACACTTACCTAAAAATCCATGTTGTTGTCTAGGTCTCCTTTCAAATGGCTTGACGTGGAAGAAGAGTTGCCCAATTTTATCTAAATATTCAGTATAGCCCGGATCTCTGGTCAAAGATGATTGATATTGCTCACAAAGTACTATATAAGTTTTTAGCTTTCCACTAAATATCAATTATAATATATTTAGATATTAAAGTTAATAGTTACAAACCATTTGTAAAACAAATAGTTAGTTACTTACCCATCTAATATTTTCAGTAAATAACAAATGAAATTGAGTAAAGGCAAAATGTATGGGGGTTCATCGTTTATAGCAGGATGTAACTTAGTATATGACTGAAATGTTGACTGTGCAATTGATATGTTACGTATACACAATCCTCTAAAATAAAGAAATGAAAAATAAAAAAATCTATATTGATTTTTTATGGGATTTTTCAAATACATACTGTAGTACAACTTGTGTTATAAATAAATCAACTTCATATTTTAATCCTCGTGTTTTATGCATTTCTACCAACATAGCTGCGAATGCCAAACCATCTGTTGATCTCAAATAATGATGCTGGGCTAACGCAAAGTTAGCCTCTAAATGTGTATACATTTTGTACATTAATTTTTAAACACAAAACTGTATTAGAATGTATGACCAATTACCTGACCAATAGATATATCCTATACGTTTATGTAAACCTGGATGTCCCATTGAATATTCTGGGCAATGTTCAATTGTCCACTGTATGATTAGATTCAACATAGAATCTCGTTCTGCAGATAGTGATGGGCCAAATTTTCTGAATACACTATATAAAAATAAAAATTTAAGCACATAGGTTTCAAAAAGCAATTAAGTATTAAACTTACTCTCTTATGAAATCAAACATATTTTCAGAAGGAATGATATGCTGGGCTGACAAGGATTTTGCAAATAGTTGTGCTAAATCAGTAGCAATTCCAACCTAAAATATGAATGTACTCAAAAGTTTAATTACGAGTTTTATTGAATGTATATTTAATAATTACTTGATGATTTTCATGAAGGACGATAATTCCTTCTTGCAGTGTCATTATGGCAGCGTTTTTGTTTTGCATGCTTATGTATCTGCAATCAAAGAATACGGTCGGTGATGGTATTATATAGACAACCAATGTACAGTTGCACACTTGAAGTACCATTGTGATTTTTGAAATGGTAATCAATATTATTATTATTATTTCTCGGTGACATACCTGGAAAAGAGCGACTTGTACAATTGATGAGCCATGTAGAAGTTCTCATCCCTGATCGCGTTGTTCAGGGTCCGGCGCACGCGATTTATGATGCTATTTGGATCCGGTCTCACCATCATTTTGAATGTGTGTGCTTGTATGTGCTGGCGCGTGTAAATAACACGATGGGTTCTTGCTTTCTGTCACAACACTGGTGCACGCAATCGATATTCTAATAGGATTTCTGTGCGAGGCAGAGGTCGGCAACTACGAGCATTTTTAAAAGATATGAACAATCATGTTGACGTTTTGCGCGTAGTTCACTTTATAATTAATTAATAATCATATAACATTCAACATAATATAATATTATGGCCAGAACACAATATTATATTGCAGAGACACGCATGATAGGTACAATTTGTTGTCTTTTTTTTCGTTTTCCTAATAGTGTTGGTGAGTAATGAGTATAGTAGACAGTGTTACGCAGTCGTAGAACTGATAGCGCGACAGTGCCATTGTGATAACAGCGATTAGAAGTCTGACATTTTGGAACAGATCTATGTCTACCGATATATGTACGTCATTGTTCCGGACTCCGGACCTCCGAATACCGATGCCAATGATTGCCCAGACTATACTCTAGCGTCACACTCCACAAAAATAATTTTAAATCATAAAACTAAACCAAGACGTAGGTATATTTTAATTCATGATTTAAATCATCATAATATTATTTGTATTTTAAATAGTCTATGCCTCTGTGGTATTTGAGTACTTCTGCTTACGTCTACACCAGATGTATGCTATCACGTCTAGGTGCTGTAGCACTGTACGATTAGATAATTTCGATAATGTATGATATATTATTATGTTTACATTATACTATCATTAAAATCATAATATATTATATATTTGAATACACATTTATATATTATATGTGTATATTATTTGCATCATCGTGGTGGCCTGCAGGCTGCAGTTCAGTCTTCAGTGGGTATTGTAATATCATATTCCATTAGCATCCATAATAAATTAGTGAGGATTTGTCACTGTACCACAGAAATCAAAATAGATATAATGGTGGATGTCTGACACTCTGACTGTCGAGGGTAATAATAATGTTTGTATAATATTTAAAGGCGAATGTATACTTACACGGGCTACACGAGATCTATCAGATACAAATATTGTATGGGTAGGTACCAACAAATATATATATATATATATAATATGTCAATTGTTCAGACAGTTCTGTTGCAAATAATAGTATTAGTATAGTTAACTATTCACTTAAAATAAAGCGGTGTTCATCGATGCTCACCTCGTCATAGTGCTGCAACGTTGTTTGATTTGGTTCTTTTCTTTCGGAGTTGTCGACAAGAAATGTTGCTCGTCTTTCTTGTCGACGGTGTGCCTTTGGTGGTTGCCTCCTTTGAAAAATCCTTTACATGACTGCGCCAGTTGTTTCAATCGGCCATTCAGCGATCCAAATGGCTATGACTTTTAACGATAAAGTGTAGAAAATTTTCCTAGTGAACAAAAATGATAAGTTTTATTTAGCAAAAATGATAATAGTATACAATAGCGTGTGTGTGTGTGTGTGTGTGCTTAGATCTTGGTGGTACATTTATTGATTATGCTGTACGCTTGTACCCCGGGCTTCTTTATTTGTTTATTATAATATCGGCTCCTTTTGATCCTTGTGGTCATGGAAAAGCTGTTGTTTACTACATAGAACATGGAGTGCTTAAAATTATGAATAATGGTTTTGCTTAGTACTTAGTAGAAAAGGAATACATTATTTGAATACTTAGTTAATATAGTTTCTTAGATTATATTTTATGTGTTGTGCAAGGTCGGAACACTGGCCGGCATGCAAGCCCTTTCGAAGACTCTGCTGTTGCTTGTAAATTGTGATATTTGCTGTTTGCACAGTATTGTTTACAATTAACTAGTAAATTTTCAGATGCTGCTACTTCTGTATTGATATATTTTACTATTTTAATTACAGTTTGCTCATTGCGTAAGGTTGACTATAATCGTAGGTACATTTTATTATATTATTCTATATATTTGTAGAGGTCGTAGCCCGCTACAAATCCCACACTTTGAAAAAATATTATAAAACGATAAAAAATTAGGTATGTATAGGTAACATCGTATGTTAGTTCCTAATTTCCTATATATTATACTTATGTTAGGATATTAATGAACAATGATACCTTCCTACTACCTACAAACTTTTACAATAAATTGTCTAAAAAAAAATGTATTATTTATTCTTATCAATGAAAAACTTATTAGGTAAACTTATAAATGTTTCGTTTTAAAATTCAGTAGTATCAGAATTTTGAGTTTATTTATTAGACTATTAATTTATCGCCGGGTAGGAACTTTGAAGATACAACCTAATTTTTACATTCATATGTAGGTATATTGTGTATAGGAACTTACTCCTCTCATTTGTGGGAATTAACGTAGGTATATATGTAAATTAAATCTGTTATTACTCTCGGCTCTCGCGTAGGAACTTACTATTCCCCTTTTATATTTGACCTATACTGTATGTGATTAATTATCATATTGATAATATTATACATGTGTTTTTTGCTTAGGTATAAGCATGAACACTAGAGTCTACTCTAATGTCCATGGGTATATGTTACCTATAATCTATTGTAATTGTATTTTTTGTATTTTATACATAACTACGCTGCAGTAACTACGCAGTAACAGTTAAACCTATATATATTATTGAACACCGATGTGAATATGTGATGTGTATGAATTTTAATTTGTATGATACCTATTTATAATACAATTTACAAATGTGTAACTATATAGGTACTTATATATGAATATTTAAAATTTTAAACAATCAAAGTATAATTGGGTATCACATAAAAAGATTCAACCTAATACCATTGTCCTATGAATGTAAATACATTTTTATAGTTGGCATTTATAATCAAATATCAATGTTGTATAATCATTGTGTTATTCTGCGTGATACTATAAACCAGTGTTTCTTAACCTTTTTAATATCACGGAACACCAAACAAACATATTGTTTTTATGCGGAACCCCTATGAAAATTATCTTTAAAAAAGTATAAATTATCATTTATACTTTTTTAAAAGATGATGTATACATTATCTATAGATAAAGTGCTTTTGCGGAACCCCTAAGTGAGGTTAAGAAACACTGCTATCAACTATATAGTTATAATTTATAAGTTATGATATAATTTTCATGAGAGAATATGAAATATTCAAATATATTTATGAGTAAAGAAGGTTGCTGCCTAAAATTATTATTGTGTACCATAAGTCATAACTCATACTTAACTAAGTAGATACCTATTTTTTATAGGTATGTTCGCAGCGGCGGTGCCAGAATTTTTGTCGATGTAGAGCCTACCGTATTATAGAATTAATAGCATTGCAATACATATATATACATATAGATACAATATACATATTTAGGATAACTTACTGCATGTACAACGAGCGGTTACTTACTTGTCCATATTTTTAAATGTTTTATTGTGTTTGTAAAATTATTAAACAATTAAACAAACACAATAATATATAATTTGTACATTAAATATATAAAAAATAAAATAATAATATTATTTTATATACATACAGTAATGTAATTTTTATATATTTTTTTCCAATCAATACATAAAAACCTATCATTACCTATTTAACTTGAATAAATTATAAAATAATGTTTCTTACATATCTCAGGACATAAAGTAAAATCAACTAAAAGTAAATCAATAAATACAAATTAAAATTTCAAGGAGTTTATTTTAATTTATATAAACAATATCCAAAAAACAATAAATATTAAATATTAATAATAAATAATAATCAATCAGAATCTCTTATATTATACATTTATACGTTCTATATTCCGACTGACGTACTACGCAAACTACTTGATTAGTAATTGCACTATTAGGCGTTAGTACTACCTGTAGTAGATTAAATTAATTTTTTTCCGAAAAAAATGCATCTGAAAATTGTATTGTGACGTGTATAAAAAAACAATAATACAATATATTTTAAAAGTTTCAAGCACCCAAGTATAATTTTTTTAAATTACAACAAAACAACTAAACTAATTCTTTGTTTCAATATCTAATTGAGTCCAAATTTGAAATTAAAATGTCTGTAAAAAAAAATGTTTTATATATTTTTTAGATTATTGGTTACAGTATGTACTATATGAACCTATATTACGTCGTAAAAATCGTGCATAATATGTATTTTGAATGTTTTTAAACTGCTCTTTGAGGAGCTTGAGTTCAATTTTTAAGCTTTTTAACTCAACGAATAATATTTTATTAACACTTATAGAAAAAAAAACTAAAATTACCTAACTAAAGATTTACCTTGACTTTCTGGTAGACATTTTTTTGTGAAAAGTATAAACAAACTTATTACGAATCTTGTATTAAATATTATGAATCTTAGATAAAAATGAATTTATGAATTTATAACTCAAAATAATTTACAAATTTTCAAGATTAGTCCAATTTTGTTAAAATTCTAACTTCTAGCGCTAATAAAAAGATATCGTCAGTTCAAACACAATTTTTTTTTAATTTCTTCTAACAGTAACTTATGAGGAGCTTTATATCAAATTTTCAAGTGTTTTTGATCAATGTTTATCAACATTAATTTAGGTCAAAATGAGTGAAAATATTTTGAAAATTATATGCGGTGTATCTGAATTGCTAAATATTCAGTGAAAATTTCATGTATATAGTCATATAGATGTTAGATATTACTATATTAGATCTATATAATCATTTTTTATAGAGTTACGCCAAAAACCAAATCGATTTTAACCAAAAGTATATTTTGAATAACAATTCCCTTTTCCGTGGCTATCTGTGGATACTGTTAATATTAAAATTAAGCGAAAATAAGATCACTTTTAGGAGAGCTTTCTGAGCAATAAAACCTTCAGTTTTTAAAAATTATTTTTCCTAAAAGTTGTTTGTGTGAACAATGGTGCAATTTTGAGACAAAAATAATTACTTTAAGTTCTTAAGTTATTTTTAATTAGTTTTTAAAATCTTGTTCCTATTTAACCATTAATGGGGTGAATAGGAACATTATAATTTATGAATTTATTCCTTTTTTCTAAGTATTGGGTAGATAGGAACGTTATAAATGTGTATTTTAAATCTTAAGTGATAACGTGTTATCGTTGGAGGTAAACAGCTACCGCTTCCAGCTGCAAACACAGTGAATCCCTGATTTATTTAATCAACAGTTTATGGGAACCGAAAAAGATAAGCCCAAACTAAATCATAAAGGCATTGTGTTACAAATATTAAATTGATCTTTTATTGTAGAATCACTATGTAACGGATAATTGAATCACTTTTATAAACATTTTTGTAGATTTTATGACTTTTCAAACTGATACTGTAAGAAGACCAAGAGTTAGTATAGGTATTAGGTATACGTATACCTTTATAGTAAAATTGTATTTTTCAACTTATCAGTGTATCATCAGTATACATCCCATCATTTGTGTAATTGTTATAGTTCTTAATTAATTTTTTCTTACACTACGTCGAGCAGTCGAGCAAACTGAAAAATTTATCTAGAAAAGAAAAAATGGTTGACTATTTTGATAATTTGAAAAAATGTTCGCAAAGAAAAGTTGCGTTAGCTTAATAAACTAAACTAAATTTTGAAAATCGTAAGCAAATTGATGTAAATGTAGAAAACAATTTGCCTCTTTCCCAAAAATAGGAAAATGGATTTTAATGGATTATTATGAAAATAAAATTACAAGTCACTCAAGTCCAATCTAAAATAAAATTGATAGGGTTTTCGCTTTTTTTTAAATGTATTTTTATGTTGTTTTAATTTTATTTAAAGTTTACGTACAAAAAGTATAGAGCCATAACAAAAATGTTTTTGGAAACAATTGGTTAATAGAATCAAAAGGTAAGGTTAGGTTACGCACGTTAAACGGAACTCACTATATAACAAAATTGATCTAATGTTATCGTCTAATAGAACGCTACACGCCTACACACATGTCTTGTCCCATCTTACAAAATATGTAAAACATAGGTAACAAAAAATGTTTCACGTGGGAAAGAACCGAGAAGGCTACAGTTATAACTTAAGCACCAAATGTTCACAATGAATAGAGGAAAATTTGAAGTGTGTCGTATTATTTTTTATTTATTTTGTCGGCAAGACCAATATGGCAATATTGAATATATTAAAAGTTATCTAAGTTTTGAAAACGTAAAAATATCAGATTTTTAAAAGTATTATAACTTTTTTTTTATTGATGATATCAAACAAATAAAAACTCGATGACACGGAAAGATTATCTTCTACATTGTGTACACTTTTGGTGTCTCTAGGATTACAAACTGTATTGCACGGGTGACGGGTTCTATCCCATGCAATACATTTTATACCTAGGTTTTGTATTATGTTGTACATTTGTAAGACAGAGACAACACATGTGGGTGTAGCGTCCTCTTAACTATTTGTGATAAGATAAGAGAACAATAAATAATACATTTTTCTCAGTTGGTTCCTACTTCCTATTCGCCCCATTTTACTGGTCTATTGGTTCCACAGTTTTCACATTTTTAAAAATATAAAAAACAACTAAAACTTGTTGATATATATTAAACATTAAAATACGTCACGGTGATTATACCATCATGAATGTCGAATCCCTTATTATTTCAAAAAGTATTAACGTTTTTGAAAATATTTTTTTACGTACGAGTATAGGTAATACTAAGAAATAACAGATGTTCTAAAAAAAATTTTTTTTGTTCTTTTGTTTATTATAAAAAACGTGAAAATCGGTGAAATCAATTGGTACTAATATGAACTGTATCAAACGGAATCAATATGATATGATGTATAGATATTATATAATATAAACTGCTGCAGTAGAAGGCGGAGTAGATACTAAATCGGCGAAATTGATAGGTAGTATAACGTCCTTCCAAATCAATATTTAAATATTTTGAAAACGCCTTAGTGTAGGTGTATAAAATATAATAACGTATACTGTATACGTAAAAGTTTTTGGACCACAGGAATAACATTTTAAAATGACAACAGAAAAAACTAAAATCGTTAATCTGTGTTCAATGTCGAACGAATTTAGATATTTAAATTTCGATAAATTTTGAACTTCAAATGTCTACAAAAAAATAATTGTGCTTAAATATATCATTAAGATTTTTATGTTTCCGGAAAAACTACTTATGAAGGACCTTGTATTACATTTTCAAGTTTTAGCGTTCAACCATACAGTTTTAAACATTTTATAAATCAAACTACAAAAAAGTTTATAAATTTTCTCGTGATTTTCATGATTTCGCTCATATGCTTTTGAATGTGTTTTTGATAATTCTTCAGTTAAAATAAATTATCTGGGATCTTTTATTACATTTATCATGGTTAATTGATCACTAACCTAAACATTTGTATCAACATTTTAAAAATATAACTAAAAAAATAGAACATTTCAAAAGCTTAAAATTATTATAAAAATGTTGATAATTTCATTGAGTATAAGACAATTGTAATTTAAGTAATGTTGGAATGTTTCAGGTTTCTTTACGATTCATTATTTTTTGAGTTGCAAAAAAAAAACTAAAATCGTTTGATAAGAAATCGTTAATTCACGGGTGAAATATCACATTAAAAATTAAACTGCCGACTCTCATAAAGTATATTGAGGGATTTTTTTTATAATTTATGATTCCGAGAAAAATATAAAGAACTTTGGGTTACATCTTCGAGTGTTTTTAATTTTTTACACAATAATAAAAATTGAATCATGAAACAAAAATGTAAAAAGACACAATAGAATAAAAATAAAAACCCAGCATTGTAAAATCAATAGGTATAGCCGTATAGGCAGTAGGTACATCATTGATCCCTCGGTCATATTAAAATTTAAAACAAAAACTAATACGCAAACGATCATACCTTTTAAATTCCCACAAATAACAAAAACAATAATGTGATAAATACATTTCCTGTTTACTTTAATCTATTATGTTTTTATAATTTAATATGAAATATGAATATAATAATTTATTTAATGTAGGTATTTTAAAGTCAAATGAATGATTAATAGGGCCAACTAAAGGACGCTAGAATATTATAATTTATTGTATTTATCCAACGTCCATGACGGTTTAATTGGTTCCAAAGAGGTTGTAATGCCAACAATGTGTGAAAGTGTGTGTACGAGAGAGAGAATAGAGATCAAAAAAACCATGAACCACAACAACAAAAATGGCTATGGTAGTAAACTAGAAACAACTGACAAGTTTTTTAACGAAAATGTTCAATACTTCAGTGGTAATTGTGTCATTTTTTTTGTAATTTAATTATTATTTTAATATTTTAATTAGTTTTAACAGTTTTAACTAGTTAATGCAATGTACAATTTTTGATTAAAATTGTACAAATTAACACGTACGCGTAAAGATGTATGGTGTAACAATTACAACGGTCGAATAAAATCATCTGATACTTTTCAACTTTTCCAAAAGTGTGTAGGTATATATTTATTTTATTTTTATTATTTAACGTTTGGCCAGTGTTAATACTAATTTTAATTGCTTTTTTATTAAATAAAATATTTTAAAATTTTTTGAGCACCAAATAGAATAACCTTACTTAATATGTTTACATTCCCTAGGGTAACATTGACATGTGATAACAAGAAAAAATAATGATTACTCAAAGTATTTAATATTAGAAATAAATAATTTTATTCTACATTATTAGCCATATCACAATAAAAAAAATATTTCATTACTTTTATTAATATTGTAGAATAAAAATGTCTGAGGGAAGATTTCCATCTTATCATCATTTACCCCCAGCGGCCCCAGCACCTCAAAGACATCATTTGGCAACTGCTGCAACGCCTTCCGTTCCTCATCCACTTACATTCCATCCTCCTGCAATTTCTCATCAGCTATCTTCATGGTTTACTAAACAAGGTAAATAATTAATTGAATTGTTCTTGGACAAGTGTTAAGTGTTATTGTTATCGGATTATAGATATGGCCGCTTACAGAAATACACCATATGCTTCTTTACACAATATTGCTGCATTACAGATGCACAAACCCCAACATACTCCTGTAATTGATAGGTGGATGGATTCAAGAAATAATATGCCGCCTCCATCTAGACCCGATCCACCATCTCCTAGTCCAGCTCATTCTGCAAATGTATCACCTAGTTTTTCACTATCTAGAACTGTTGAGATTGATCTTACTAAACATAAAAAAGAATCAGAGCAAATGTCTATCGATTTATCTTCAAATAATAAAAAATATGAAAGTTTTGCTTTTAGGCGAGCAAGAGATCAAGTTAATGGTCAAATAAATTTATCTAAAATAGGAACTATTGAAGAGAAAGCAATAAGTGTTATAGCACCAAACCCTCATAAAGTTATTAAGTCTGAAATTCAATTTCATGCCCCAGATTATCTAAATACTCAAAAAGTAAAAAATGTTAGTAATGATGGTTATGAAAATAAATGTAGTAAACATGATATTAAGGTTATTTGTGATAGTCCTATAAAAATTGAAGTTGAAGATACAAATAATGTTGAAAAAATGTTGGAAAACATGTTTCAAACAAATGAGTCTGAAAAACAATCTGTTATAAAAATTGTAAAACCAATAAAATCACCATCACCATCAATGATGAGGGCAGAATCTGTAGAAAAAATACTTAAATCACCATCCCCTATACCTAGAATAGAACATGATAAATCTGAAGATTGTATACCATCTGAAAATTCTTCAAAAAAAATTCATGACACACATTCTCAATTCCTTGAAGTAGAAAACAAATTAGAAGAATTATTTGGTGGTGTCATCACATCAACTAGTACACCTGAACAACAAATAGTAATTGACAATAAATCAAAACCAATAATTCCTACAAAAAGGCCTTATAATAAAAATAAGAAACAATTTAAAAAAGTTAAAAAAAATCTACCTATAGTTGAAAAATTGAAACCAACTGTTGAACAACCAATTAAAAAATATAAAGGTCCATTAATAAGAGTCAATGGTGGTAACATAGAAAATCCAACAAGTTTTGTCATAATTAACCGAAATATTCAAGATGACGAGGATTCATTAGATGGTCGAAATATTAATCGAAAGACTTATTGTAAGTTATAGTTCAAAAATTTGATAGATCGTTGAATTTTTTAAAATAACTTAATATTAACTATATAATTTTTTTAAAAGCATATAAATCTGGTGTTTGCAATGGTGAAGAAAAACCCGATGTGAGCAATTTAGAAAGTAGTGATTGGAAATGTGTTTTCTGTTCGCGAGGACCTCACGTAAAAGACATTGGCTTTGATCCTACTGGAGATCTTTTTGGTCCTTATTATGTCAGTATACCAAAGGTTGTAAAACCAAATGATAATCCTAAGAGAAAGGTATTTTCAAACCACTTTTATTACTGAACATATTATATGGTTAAAATGTAATTTACAGAAATCTAAGCATAACTTAAATGATAATGATACTTCAGAAACATTTATTGAGGTATGGACTCATGAAAATTGTTTAGTTTGGGCGTCTGGTGTTTATATGGTTGGGGATAAAGTTGTTGGGTTGGAAGATAGTGTGAGAATTGCAAAAAATACTGTGAGTATTTTTTTTATATATTACTAAAAATATAAATTATAATAAAACATTTTATTTTTTGCATAGATTTGTGTTTATTGTGGTGTTAATGGGGCTAGTATTGGATGTACAGCACGTCACTGCAAATCGTGTATACATTATAACTGTGCAATACATGTTGGTTGGCTTCTTGATAGCCAGAATCATATGACTACATGTAATGTTCATAGGGTAATTATATAATTTTAACATCAGATTAGTTTTTTTAAATAATATATTTATTTTTACAGAATTCTCTCCTTGGAAGTAGTTGTCATTAATGAAGCTTTCTTGCTTCATGTATTATTATATTCAAAAGATAGGCTTTATGTGTTTTTTTTTTATTATCGTATATTACATTGTATTATGGTTACACGATCATCAACCTTGTTATGAATTTACAACAATTGACCATTAAGTATTTTCTTATGCATATATTATCATATGTGTATATTTGTTAATATATGCGTGTATTTTAATCTATTATAATTAAATTTTTTAGTTTTATAAAGTAATGAACATGAACTAATGAAATCATTGCAGTAAACAACAAGAGAGTTTATTTAACTAAAAAATATTCAATTATGTCTATTATTTTAGAGCTGAAAGAAACAAAATTGCTCTATCATAGTTCATATACTGTGCCACATTTTGGTGCATAAACTATATTAGTACATGAACAAAATAAATCGTGTCCATGAATATATTTTAATCAAGTTTTGTATGAATTTTATTGTTTTGTTGATTTATTTTTTACATTATCCTTAATTGTTTCGATTTTATATAACTGTATACGTTAGAAGAAAAATACATATTGGTATTTATGAATATTTTTACAGATTATATTATCTATTATAATTTGCAATATTAAGTTAGTATTTTAATATCTAAGATATAATTTTCTTAATAAATATCTGTTGGGACTGTGATGATTGATGAGTAACATACTTGGTGTTGAATGTAATGATAATATTCAAATAACAATTTAAAAAATGTTAACTTAAAATAGTAAATTTTCATTTAAGCATTGATAAACAATTACTTAAATAACTTCATTGAATAATAAACAAGGTGATTAGATTTTACTTTAAAAAATACTCATATATTCTAAAATGTTATTATAATTTTATAAAATTAAATAGTTTTGTTAGATTTCTAATTTTACTTACATTAATTACAAAATAGAATAAAAATGAAATAGTACCTATGCATTATACTATACTAAATTAATATTACTCCTGATAATTTAGTTTTAATTTTTATCTTGTTTAAATTAAGTAAATATAAGGTTATGTTAACTCAGTTTAATATATTTTTAATATTAAGTTATTATTATTAAACTATATTATAGAGTTGATTACATGGATCTGACACTCTGACAATATTGGTAATGGGGTTTTAATTGTAGCTTATGGAAATACCTAGTACATCTTGGTTGTCAAATGTATGTAATTTATTCTATTTAATCTTATTTCATATATCCAAATAATTTTATGCGGTTTACTGGTTTAAGAAAAGTGTGTTTAACAATGATGTTCTATGTAAAACACAAAAATTATAATAAACACAAATACACAATATATGCATATGTATATATAAATATATTATATTATATATACTGGTTTAAAGGCATTAGAAATTGGAAATTTAACTTTCTTGTTTAATCCTTGTAGATCTGTGCTAAGATTGATTGTTATCATTTATTAGTTAAGAGAATTTAACTATTGGTAAAACAAACAAAATATGTGTTTAAATTATTAATTTTTTAAAAATAATGAATTCTAAACTTGGAATTGGTGTCACACTATCACCGAACACTCCCTTCCAGCCTCCCTTTATCATAACACGTCTACTTGTTCTAACATAACTTTTACTTATTTTGTTGTACAATTGTGCCTTTTAATATACAAATTGTAAATGTATGCTTTTATGATAAAAAAAGATTTTTAAAATTTGAGGTTAGGAACGTTAGAACGTCTAGCGTAAAACCTTAAGTTTTGGTCTTTGAGCTACAAAAATAAGAAAAACAAAATCTAGTTTTACAGTTATTACATACAGCGAGAATGTCATAATAAAAACATAAAACCTAAAGAAAGAGAGTATTTACTACTTAGTATATGTATACTAAAATACAACAATACAATATGTGGGTAGGATTAAGGGAATACCCAAATTCTCGGGATTCCATCAAAACCGGTTCTATTTTGGCAGAGTGTTGCATGGGGAATACCGCTTTTCGTTGGGCGTGTCTTATTTTCTTTTTTTAGCTTGTTCTAACTGAGTGTATGTAAAGAACGTTTATGAGTTTTTCATATTTTTTCTTTTAGTTATGCACATTGCAGACCAAGTTACAAATACGTTTTGTATGCCTCAGTAGAGATATATTCAATTTTATTTTGCATATTTAGGGGTTGTAATAGGAATTAATGCACATTATGGAAAATGGAGAAATGTATTATAAGTAATTGTTTGAAAACCTCGAATAAATTTAGAGTATGTAATAATTAACCAAAAATAATAATAAAATTGTTTTAATTTACAGCTAAGTTTGTTTTTTTTAGAGTAAAATCAAAATTGAAACAACAAAAGAAGGTGCCGGAATTATGCAATCTTTTCAATGCATTTTATAATGACATATCTGATTGTTTTAAGGGCACCGTAACCCTATAGTAATCAATAATGGTTGCATCACTTGAGCTGTTATGGTTAATAGTTTTAAATGTTTAATACATAATAATTGTGATTAAAATGTACATTCAATAATAATTAAAGTATGGAATCGCCCGAAGGTTATGTAACTCAAATCCTCAATAATCTTCAATCGGAACTACAGAATAGTTTTACTGGAATCATAGCACAGAATAAGTATTGACCACGTAGGTACCAAATTTAACCTAGCCCTCCTATAATTGTTTGGAGCCCGCTCAAATGTTTTTGGGTAAATGTCCAAACTATCCAAAGTGTCAAGACTTCAACAGCACGAACTTAAATTCTAAATGCCTTGTTAATATTACGGAATTAATTTTTACAATTGTTGAACCCTTGTGATCGACATTCGACACAACATTTGTGAATATACGGTATACACAAAAATGTATACATGTACATTGCATAAAATATACCCACGGCGCGGCTCGAACAAAATATGTCGGCTCTGTGCTTGCCTTACGCCAATCAGCCATATAATTCAATCTAGTCTTCATGCTCATATTCAGAGTGCTCTATCGTAAGACGGGATATAATATGAACCAACTTGTTGCACAAGTGCACGATATCGCAACTATGGGCATATCTAGAATTTAGTTGTTATCTACTTGTTTCAAGGGCTAGACTTCTAGAATAGTATAAAGAAAAAATAAATCCCAATAAAGATCAAACCCCTTTACATCCTTTCACTACTGATTCCCAGATCAGGACCTCCAAGGGCTCAATACAAGTACTGTTCTCATCATTGTTTAAAAATTTAATAATTTACAATGGTTTACATCAAATTCTGTAAATCAGTGGCGTCATTTTAGTTATTGATATGGGAAAGGGAAATTTTGACCAGCCCATAATAAAACTAAAAAAAAACCGTTCGGGAACAATTACATCGAGATACAATTAGCTTTCTTCTAATGTATACAATTGAAACATCAAACAATGGGTAGGTGATCCAAGCGACTAACATTAAACACGGAAGGCACTTATCTGTTAAATACTCACCCTGATAACACCAACCTACCATAGACCTTAGATACCTATACTATCTACAACCGTGCCATAAACTTTGATTCTTCTATTATCTAATATATTATACAAACATTTCTAATACATAACATTCAGATACTTACCCTATAGTTGTTTAAGTATTAGCAAGGGCCACGAATGATGGTTAAATTGTATTTAGCAATGACATGAACCATGTTTGCGGCCCATAACTAGCTAATTATAGGGGGGGAGGGGAATGACGCCACTGCTGTAATTAATCATCTACAGTATTTGTTTACAAACATAGACTTTATTTTCTGGCCGTATTAAACGGTATCCTGTTGAAAATTGAAATATCGATACTGTATATAGTTCTATAATGATTTCTACGGATTAAACTATACAAGCAATGGGTTGAATGATGTTTAATAGCTATGCCGGGTTGCACGAACAATCACTAAACATTTAATGAATCAATACTATTGATTCAATAGTGAGCTAATGATCTTTTAAACATGATCTAGTGACCCATGATTGGTCCATTAAATTTTATTGGACCTTTAAATTAATACATTTTTAATGCAACCCGGTACTAGTCCATTACTAAAAGGTTAGGTTAGGTTAGGTTAGGTTAACCGTCACTTGTGGCTGATACAAGTATAAACTTAATTGCAAGGATTGTAGCAGAAAATGTGAGAAACAAATATTTTCACAACAAATTACTCATAGAGTGGTAAAAGCTATATGCTATCAATAAGTTCAAATTAAAAATACAATTCGCAGAATATGTTTTAATTTTTAGCATCACATCATCTTTAAATCTTCAAGTTTATTGAATGCCAAGAAAACAGCGTTTGGAAAACATTAAACAGTATCTGGAATGAATCATATGAGCAAAAAAGAAGTACAAGAATTCGTCCGAACGGAATAACGGATTAAAAAAATTAGTAAATACCTGAGATAAAAATGAAAATTTAAATTATTTTAAAGGAATTGTTTATAAATTATAACTAACATATTTGTTTGAAACTTCTTCGTATGTACACTTTTAATAGAAAATAAGTTAAAACCTTCAACAAAAATCATAACTCCCATAATTTTGTATTCACCATTTTAAATTGTGATCGATTTTTAATTTCGATATTTGGAGGTGAATCTTGTTCAATGCTCCCAATAATTCAGATGTTCATGTGTTCAATTTTAAATTTATTTCGGTAGATTGATCCAGTAAGTGATACGAGTATAATATGTTCTGACAACAGAATTGAATTGTCCTAAAGTCGACAAGGTAAGATAAGGCATTACACCTTATCAACATTTTTGATTTTTGTTCTCCATTAAAATATTATATTTTTTTAATTTATACTTTTTTAGGAATTACTGAAATTAGAGATAGTATGGTTGCCTAACCTAACTTTAGGCCCAAGAGGAATGTGGAAAAGTTTCTACCGAAATGAATCGCTATAAACAGCTGGAGATTTCCGCACTAGCGCTTATATACTATAGTGGCTATAACTGCAGTTACTATTCAAATATAATTGTAGTCATTATACATAGATATTACAGAATCGTCAGAATCTGTGTCACTATAGCTACAGTAAAGCCCAACCTATTTTCCTTGGCTGGCTACTTTGGCAAACAATTATCTTCGAGAGGGCCACCAAATTTTTAAATACGAATGATCTCAATCTTCATCTAATAATATAATACTACTTAAAATAGTAGGTAAACAATTTACATGCAGGTGCATACTGGACTTGTTTTTTTTTATCTTTTATTGACTACTGAAAAGATGAAATATTGAGGTTAGGTAATAATTTTTTGTATACTTTGTTTTGTTTTCAAAATTTGTAACGGGTCATTTTATTTTGGTAGACACTTTTCAAGTATAGGAATCATGGGTCGATAGACAACCATTATACTATCTATAGCCTTGCTAATTACTAATTACTTTACATATTAACAAGAGGACCAGGTGGCCCCAAGGTTTATACATACATTTTTATCTGGTTCTGGGTCAATCGACCGACAACCATTCGACCGACAGGACTGTCGACCGACAACCAAAATAGTAATTAAATATTATAAGTACCTACATAGTAATTTAATTTCACTTACATTAAAAAATTTTTTATAAATATTGTATAGTAATAATATTTAATAATAATAAAAATCTTCTTTGAATATAATTTAATCGGGAACTTATATCATATATATATTGCTGAAAGTTTTGAAAATTGGCACATGTCTCTTTTATATAAAATAAATAAGACAACAAATAAAGCAGGTTAAACCAAAATTATAAAATATAAAATTATAAAATGAGGCATGGCATCGGCGTTGGAATGAATTGATAGGGAGGGCTCATTGGTCTGTTTACGCTGATTAAAGAACTTCAGAAAGAACAAAGTAAGGTTGATGCAGATATCGAAGCTATTCTTCGAGGAGCTCCAAAGCCACGCCCAACAAATCTTCAGCAAAAACGTGAACAGCGCTTGAAGACTGCTTTTAACAATCGTGAAGGTAAGACACGTCTGGAGTATCTTCGAGGTATTGCTCACAACCTAACCATGTAATATACATACATTTGTATATTATTTTTTAGTCTTTCCAGTATTTTTTTTTATTAAATAACGAATTATTTTTTTAATTATTTAATTATTATACTTAACTAGCAAATTATTATTTATTATAAAAAAAATATTATCAATATTATTATTATAATACAATATCATAAAAAATGTATTATTAAAATATTTTTAATATAAGAATATAAATTAAAGATAAAATTGTCTTGTCGGTATTTTGGTTGTCAGTCGACTGACCCTGTCGGTTGATTGTCTTGTCGATCGATTTTCCTGTCGGTCGAATGGTTGTCGGTCAATTGTCCATCTCCCTTTTTAT